ATGGTATGTGACAAAAGTACATATAATACAGCAAATGTATGCAGGGGAGGCCCATTACTGAATGAAATGTACTCTATTTATAGTCGTGCTTTTAACTGCTCAAGCTGTAGTGAGAAGACAAATATCAAATATTTAGCATTTATATACAGTGTTTGCATTTGCAAAGTGCACCACAAAAACTATATGTTAATCATTGTACTAAATAAACCCCACCTGAAGTCTCACCAGCGTTTCCTGTCTTTGGTACGTAAGCTCATAATTCTCAGCTGCGACCTCCTTGTTCTGAGCCTGATTCTGCACCAGCCCCTAGCACGCACATGCACCACTGAGTAATAGTTTATTCCATGAATAGGCCCTCCTTCCCTGTGGAGTAGCGTGTGACATCAGCAGACCCGGTGCCAGCTCATGCCAAGGCCCCCCCCCAGGCCTCACTGAACACTGTCAAATGCATAGCTGGAAACTAGTCTGGCTTATCAGCACATTAGCATTGTTAGAATTGATGTTAAATTGATAAGAATGTGTTTAGTGTTATAGGATGCCACATTACTGATCTCACTTATAACCTCGGTAGCCCATGGTATAAGGTTACATTGAGTGTTTGCATTGTAAACCTCTGTAACTGTGGAACTCAAACAGAAGAGAAGCCTTCTCTAATGCAAATGCTGGCTTCCTCCAGAAAACTTTAGGGCCCGGCCAACAAGAAGGCCTTTGAAACCAAATGAGCAGATGTGAGGGTCAAAGAACAAAGACTTTGTTAATTGCATTCTTCAGCCCCTCCAGGAAGAGAGTGGTTCACAAACTCATCACACCAGCTTGGACTATGGGGAGAAATGGATAAACATCTCTGACAAGGAGAAACTGGGTTCTTTTTGGCTGCTTGGACTACAAGTGTATGTCCACACTGCAATTAGACACCTGCAGCTGGCTCATGCCATCTGACTCAGGCTAAGGGACTATTTAATTGCAGTGTAGATACGCAGACTTGGGTTGCAGCCTGAGCTCTGGGACCCTCCCACCTTGCAAGGTCCCACAGCCTTGGTTCCAGCAAGCCCAAATGTCTACACCATAATTAAACAGCCCATTAGCCCAAGTCAGCTGGCATGGGCCAGCCACAGGTGTCTAATTGAAGTGTAGACATATCCTAAAGGGGAAGAATTACTAAGCACAAAAAAACACCACCCCACGCTACCCAGTTTAGCCCTAGAGAATATATGGAGTTTGCTTATTATAGAAGTTATTATCTTTTGGAATTTAAGATTGTAACTCATTTGTCACCCGCTTTAACCTTGTAAATAACGCATTTCTTTTCTCAGTTAATAAATCTTTAGTTAATTACAGTATTGGCTACAAGAGTTGTCTCTGGTGAGAGATTTGGGGCACAATTGACCTGAGATAAGTGACTCATCCTTTGGGACTTGGAGTAGCCTGAATATTATTGTGATTTTTGGTGCAAGGGATCAGCTACCACGAAGGCAGGCTTACCTGGGTGGCAAGATAGACTGAAGTGCCCCAAGGGCCTGTCTGTGATTCCATGGTAAGGCTGTGATAGGGCTTGTGGAGTTTACTCTTGCTACTTGGTTGGTGAAATCTAATTACAGAACATTCAACCAATTCATTTAACAAGAACTACATTAATTTATTTCCTATTCTAGGAAGAACTTTAAAAAAAGGTTAAAGTGTATTTGTTAATTATTGTTACATTTTTCAACTAGGAGATGGTCCCAATAATTACATTAAAGATCATGGAAATTAGAATTGTTTCCTGTTTGCCTGAGTATTTCTTATGCTTTAAATACTTAATTACACCTGCATACTCTTCTGAAATTCAGTAGGGTCAAAATTACATTACATTACATTCGTTTTAGCCCATGAAAGCTTATGCCCAAATAAATTTGTCAGTCTCTAAGGTGCCACAAGTACTCCTTGTTGTTTTTGCTGATACAGACTAACACAGCTACTACTCTGAAACCTGTCATTATAAAATATGTGGTTAATCAATGAAAATGAAAAGATAAAACAAACAAACAAAACAGCCACCCACATCCTTTCTTCTCAAGGAAGTCAAGGCTGAACAGCACTCTCACAATCATTAGGGGAATGGGGGAGGAGGGAGAGACAGGGAAGCCAGACACATTACCTCCCAAGGAAGAGATGGATGTAGTTAAATAGTCTTTTCTATACCCATTCCAAATGGTGCACAATATTAAACTACTGAAAGTCAGCAAGTGAGAGCTGAGAGTACCAGATGGATTTCATGCAGTAGAATACTTAAATGCTCATTTACTAATTTGGACTCAAAGTCCTGATGGAAATTACACAGGTTTGGAAATTGTACTGAAGTGATTGGATTTAATTAACCTATTTTTCCTTAAAGAGGTGGACAAGGAGAGAAGAAAAATCATGGCAACTTTTGTTTTTTTACTACTAAAGAGAATCACAGAATCAGCTGAGAGTGAGTAACTTGGAAATATCCTCAAGATCTCTGAAGTTACATTTAGCAGCCAGCTGGCTTCCAGTTATATTTTCCAAAGCACACAGCAAGAGGGGAAAATCTGCAGTGGCTCCCTGCTGAATGACTCCCGGGAAATTCACCTCTCAACCCTGAAGACTTAGTAATTGATACAGGATTATGTTTTAGAAACAGATGCTTAATATATCAATTAATCTAGAATTAGGTCTATTTCAATGCCACAAAGAAAACACAATGAACCCAACAAATAATGAAAATCTTGAATGGTGCACAATTCAAAGCTGGTCAAGATTTGTTTTTAAAATTGTGTGATCAAAACAAAATAAATACTCTGTACTGTAACAGCACATCTAAGGATCTCAATGAATTTCAAGAGATGACTAGACTGATATATAAATCCTATTTCTTTTTAGGACACGTTAGTAGAGGGGCCAGAATATACAGCAACTGACATGGTAATGTGTTTTGTTTATATCTCAAGTCAAGATTCCCCATACATTAGAGGAAGAAAGGAACTATTCTCCCCGACTGGCTGTATTTCACAAGAGGGAACAGTCTCTAAACCCTCTTCAGACATCTGCACTGAAACTTACAGGACAGCTGATAGCTCTGGCAATGCGAAGGTTTCCAAGCAGCGACATGAAGGCTGAGCATAAGTAGCTCGCCCCCAAGCCAGTTCTTTTCTCCCAAGTCTCCAGCTAACCTTAATTCCCAACGGCCACGTACTGAAAAGTGTGTGTGTGGTTGTTTTTAAAAGCCACTTCGTTGTTACGAAGTTTCCTTGGTGCCTCTTCAATTTTCGCAGCCTCTTCACTCTCTCTCCGGGCTGGCAGGGGACACCCCAAAAGGCACAGCTCCTCTTTTCCCAGTAAGCCAAGCCAGCTCTTCAGCTTTGGGGGAGGTGGGGGGGTGTCACGGAGCAAGGGGGAAAATCTAACCAGACCCATTTACCTGTACCGTACGACTGATCCCCCGCGCGTTGGGCTCCTCGGGAGTTAGCAGCAACATCCCACGCCCCTTGGAAGCCCCCCAGTTCACATCCCCGGGAGAAGATGCAACAAGCCCCCACCCCAGGAAGACCCCCCTCAGGGGCAGCAATGCACCCACCCCAGGGACACCAACCGGCTGGGGAGGGGAACAAGGTCCCTTCACTCCCAGGGCGCCGAGCCCCAAGGGCAGGCAGGGGTCGGGGGTGCCAAACCCCAGCCGGGTCCCTGACCCCCCGCAGGGTCACAGCGGGGTGGGAGCCGGGCACCTACCTGAGCGCGTGCCCGCAGCCGGGCTAATGGAAGCTCCCAGGCAGACACCAGCAGCTCAGCCCTTCTCCCCAAACGGCCGCTACAGGCGCCAGCAAAAAGGGAGGTGGGCGGGGGATGGCAACCAGAATCATAAACTCAGCGGCTCCACCTGGGTGCCTGCTGGCGCGGGGAGCAGTGGGACCGGCTCTTCGGGTCTCTTGACTCCAAGGGAGGTTCCAGAGCTGGCGGGCTTCATCTCATTGATTGACAGCTGGACTGACCAACGAGAACCTCTACTCTGGGCCAAGCAAAGGAGGCGCTAGCGCCCGCCTTCCCGGCCAGTCTGAGGAGGGCGGGTGTTTCCATGATGTCAGCGAGAGGCGCCTCTCGGACAGGTGGAGAAAGAGGATGGCGTGCGGGCGGTCGATACGCTGCTGCCAGCGGCGTGGGGAGCCGTCACTCAGGGGGCCAACCGGAGGGACAGGTTCCCAGCCCCTCTCTGAGCAGCAGCTGGCACTTCAGTGGAAACAAGTGCGGGGTGGGCCGGCTCCCCCGGCAGCACAGCAAAGCCCGGTGCTCAGCAGAGGTGCTGGATCAGTTTCTACGCCCGGGGTGCTGAGCGCCATTGAACCAAACCCGCAAGCCCTGTGTATAACAGAAACCTCTTCAAGCCAGGGGGTGCGGCGGCACCCCTCGTTCCAGCACTTCTGGTGCTCAGCACCCAGCTGGCTGGCTCTGGGCCCCCAGCAGCCTGGCGCCGAAGGCTGCACAGCCTGGATTTCAGTGGACCAAACTGACTCCGAACTTTGTCGCACCTTTGTCGGAGCCAAGAGACGGCGGTTTCCACAACCACTGGGGCGGTCTGTCCGTGGCCGGAGCATGCCTGCTGCCCATGGGGTAACAGGCAGATCTGAGCACCCCTGGCACGTGGGTGGTGCCCTTCCTCCCGCGCAGCCCCCGCTGGAGGCCGGTCACCGTGCCCCCAGCAGGCGGCACACTCGCGGGGACGGGGCTCTCCCCCAAGGGCGCGGACAAGAAGTGTCACGCGAGCTGCCAGGGCTCTGGTCCCAGCCACGGAGCGGACAGGACCGGGCTGTCCAGACGCTGCCAGGCAGATCCATTTACAAACACGCCCCGGAACGTTCAAAGGACACCAGGAAGGTCCATGCGCTGAATTACCCATGTCCGTTCACACGTGCAAGGATCGCACCCCCGCCTTACTGCGCACACCAACAAGTACAATGCAGAGCTAGAAAAGAAGAGCAACGTAAGGGAAGGAGTCAAGATTATACCTTAATTCTTAAAAGGAGGCAGGAATGGTCCCCAGCCCCTGTTAAACTGTTTCAGGCAGAGATCTAACTTCTGTCTGCCTTTCTCCGAACAGGCTCCGTCCTTGCCCATCCTGTGGTTTCGCTCGGTACACTAACAAAGAACAGCCTTAGCCAGTCCCGCCTCCGCTGGGGCGGCTGCCGCTACTGGCTCCTCGGAAGGAGGGAGAGTTGCTTGCACATTGCATTTTTCTAGTCCTCGCATTAAATACTTGGAGTCTTTAGTGACAGGACATAAATATTCCATCAGCCAACAAGAACATGTTGGATGCTAAGGTTAAGATCTGCTCCGTCAACTTCCAGATTGAGAACGGCTGGGTCAACAAGGAATCTGAGTTGTAGGGCTCTCTCTAAAAGGCAGTAGACTCAATTAAGAAAAAAATCCAACCTCCCCCGCACAGAAAAAAAAGCCATTAACACCCTAAAATTAACATGCTTGGCTGAGTTGTATTGAAAAAGAAGCAAGCCGAATCACTAATGAGTTTTTTTGTTTTTGTTTTTTGGTGCTTCAAACGTGGTTAGAAGTGCTAGGCGGATTCTATGTACTCTTTAATGGGTGCTCTAAATCTTTCCCAAATTGTTAGCTCAAGGCTTCCAGGGATGTAGGCAGGTATGTGCCATGGCACACAATTTTTATTTTCAAAGTAAATACTTGCTACGCCCGGGCTTGGAAGAGAGAACTGGGGGTTTGCACTCAGTTTTCTTTGACTAAGAAATCAGTTACTTTCAACTTATGTTCTGAGCTTTGCATTTTCCTTAATTGGGATGATTGTGGTAAGTGGACAAAGTTCCTGCTCAGATGTGCTACTATACCGGGTTCCAGGGCTGCATGCGGGGGAAAGCAAAAGGCCCATTTGAGAGAGCCCTACTGGCATTGCGATGTAGCACATGGTGGTCCTGATGCCACTCACTCAAATTTGCCGCACTGTCCTCTGTGATGATGGAGGAGCAGCTGGGCCAAACCCCAGAGGCCCTGTGACCCCATATGCCAGGTCGCACCACCCAGAGTGAGAAGGCAGGCCCAACCCCACAGGACAGGAGCCGCCCCTATGGGGTGAGTGAGTGGCAGGCTTGCTCTCCAAGCCCCTCAGTGTTAATTTTTTTTTTTTTGGAAGGGTGTGGGTGGGCTCAGTTTCAGATTTTGCCTGGGGCCCTCAAACACCTCTGTGCAGCCCTGCAGGGTTCAGTGCCAAGATGTTAGGGAAGAGTAAAGGCAGGCTGACAAAATGGGCTTAATGTGCCCCATCGCAGTGGGGTTTAAGTTAAAGAGGGATAGAGGGAGAGGAGAGGTTTTCAGGGACAGGAATCAATGCAGGCAAAAAAAAATGAGAGCGTGGCAGTGCCCCTAGTTTTGGGGGGAACTCTGTCGACCACATGAATGTGTGGGACCCAACTCAGTATCATATTTATGTCAAATAATACAGCTTAACTATTTGGCTGCAGTTTAATGGAAAACTCGTGCAGCGCTGTGCTATGTACCTTATGAATTTGTTCAAAGTACATACATCAGAGAATGCTGGCACTTAAAAAAAAGACAGGCAGCGGAAAAACTATATTGTAACACAATATAGATTTTACCTATGCTACTAAAATCACCGTAGACTATAATTCATAATGCTTTACATGAGACAAATAATTTGTCACTTTTTATGGCCAATTTTTACATTTCTTGGCCAATGAAAAGCACTGACGTCAGTTTCACTTTCATTTATATTTTTCTACTTTTAGGTTGCAAGTGCTGCAGTGTATGGGTTTCAAACATTGCAAGGAAATGTATATTGGTCTGAAAACAATTGGAATTTTAAAGTAATGAGTAAAGATTTCTATTGGTTTTAGGTCATATAAAAGCTTGTTTTTCCCCCAAATATAAGTTTTGGGGCATATTAAAGTTGGCAATACCCCTTTAAAGATTGCCATTACTGCACTGAAGTTATGATGACCTCCAGCTGCAAAGTGATTAAGTGCCCATGATATCTACAGAGCTCTACAATAAGAAATAAATCAAAGCCAAACGCTAAACAATGACAAACTGAATTCCAGTCTAAAATATTGATTTTCAGCCTGTCTTAAAGGCAGGGATATTTAGAGTTCCATATATTCTTACCAAGATTTAGTGTTCTCTTATTCATCATGGACCAAACACATCTCTGGGGTTCATGTCACTGCAGTTCTACCAGGAAGGAATGTGGCCTACGTGTGTAAATCGGTCCCTCTGGACAGCAATAACCTTGGACAAGACAAAGCTCTTTGAGGGCTCAGATGTCTGCCTCTTTTTCACAGAGTCATAGAATATCAGGGTTGGAAGGGACCTCAGGAGGTCATCTAGTCCAACCCCCTGCTCAAAGCATAACCAATCCCAAATTTTTGCCCTAGATCCCTAAATGGCCCTCAAGGATTGAACTCACAACCCTGGGTTTAGCACGCCAATGCTCAAACCACTGAGCTATCCCTCCCTTTTCTTTTGTTCTACTCTACAGTTTGACAAATAATGAACAGCTATTTTAGGTGATCCCTTTTGTGGGACTAACTAAAATAAACATTAAATGGACACACTTTCAAGAATCACATTGTTATCTCCACCAGATATGGGAAGACGGAGATATAATGGCAGTATGTAAATTCAGACCACAAAATTAAAGTTAGATGTATCTATCGTTCATCAGAGGAAACTGTGTGGACACACAAAAATCAGGTACACATATAGACTGGTGTTTTTCTTCTTAAATAGATCTGTTACCACAAAACCATCCCATTTACAATAATGAAAGGAAAGCTGGGGAGATATTCCTCGGTCTTGTGCACTCAACCTTCACTTTATCCTCATGCTTTGATTTTCCTCTTCTGGTTGATAGAGCTGTATGCCACTGTAATTCTTCCCGAGCTATTAAGAAGAGGAACTTCATTCTACATATTCCTTGTTCACTTTCCCTTTGATCTAATGTAATTCCGAATTAAATTATATGGTCTGAATTAAGACCCTGACACTACCTGTGTGTATCTATCTTGCTCTTTCCCAGGTTTTGATTCTCAAAAGTACACAGTTAAAGTCCAGTTAGTCCAATGAAAGAGTCTGCCTTTTGATTTCCAGCCTTTCCAACCCTAACACAATTACCTCTCCTGTATCCTACTCAATGAGATGTTAAGATTTTTCATTTTTGTCAGACTTGTGTGTTACTAAGTGGGCCAAAGACAGAAAAAGGCATGGTGTGCCAGGTGCACGTTACGCTGCCAAGTGTAAGTTAGGCAACCGAGAGAAAGAAAAATGCACCTGTGCAAAGCATCTACACTCAGTGCAGTGTCCTGGTGGCTTAGGCGGTTTGAATAGTGGCAGAGGTGTGTGAGCAGTGAAGTGACCAGCTTCATCACTGCTTATTGTCTGAGCATTTTGCGTGTTACCCTTTTTTAAAGCCTCCCTCCAGGCTCACTGTCAGAAATCTGTTCATCCTCCCCTAGTAGTACTCCTTTTCCTCCTCCTCCTCCCTGGGGAGTCTCATCTTAACCACCTAGTGGTAGCCTTACTTTCCAGTATGTGTTAGTGACCATTGAGAACCGGGAAGGATAACATCTCATCCACACTGTTGTGTTAAATGGCTGGACACAGTAAGGTGTCTAGTCACTCTGCTGTGTTTACAGACTAAGTAGCTCCATGATCTTGTGTAAAACTAGTTTGCATCTCCCCCTCAGTTATGTTTCCAGCCATTTGCACTACTGCTGAATGTGGCTATCTTCCTAATCTGTCTGTCCCTCCTTTCACCTGGCCATGGCCTCCTTCACTTATTCCCCCTGCTCTCTAGCAAGTCAATGTGCAATTATACTCCTGTTACATTCCTGCTGAATGTCTCTGGGGTGCAAGTTATCCCTCTCGAGCACTTATGCCACAGTGTCGATGCCTTTGGCCCTGCTGCTTACCCATGTTGTTCCAAGAACAATGAACTTTGCCTAATATTTCATACCAGTTTAAAAAAAGAAAAAGAGGACTCTGTCTTTGCCTTACTAAGTTTGCAATGGACGTTTCAGCTTGTCTATAGCTGTGGAGGCAAGCAACCAGATCATCTGCTGCACCAACCCTTACCCGCATGCAAATCACCTGATTGGCCCCCAGCTTTCTAACACAAAATGGGAGGGAAACCTGGAAATTTCCATTTTGGCAAGGGAGGGGCAGGGGAAGGGAACTTGGCCAGAAGCGATCACATGAAGAGGAAGGAGGTGAATGAAAGAGAAAAATCACTTTCTGCTGGATTGGCCTTTTCCCATAGGTTAGACCTGCGGATTCCTCCACAAAGGAGGCAGCCTAGGATTTTTTCCCTCTTCACGTTCAGACTCCCTCTGCTGGAGTCCCGCAGAACTATACTCTGACCCCAGGAACTCCCTTCCAAAGCGGGAACTATATAAACTGGGTAGAAAAGTTGTTAACCCCACCGAAGAGAAGATTTAATTTTTATCACATATGTTTTGATATATAGAGGGTCTGTCCAGACCAGTGGATGCCTCCATTATTTTAAATTATTTTTCACATTCATGGTCTGGACATTACCCCTGGAAAGTAGGAAGCAATAAGAGCCAATTCCTAAGGAAGGAGTCTCAAATAAAATGCAATATCAATTCCTTTAAAAGACATGAGAAATGGAAAATGTACTTGTAAGCTCTTTGGGGCCAGGACTATTTTTGTGTTCTGTGAATGGACAGGGCCTAGCACCATGGGGTCCTGTTCCTTGACTGGGGCTCAGAGGCACAACCACAATGAGATGGTTTACTGATTGCCTGGGACCGATTCATCCCTGATGTGTGCCCAGTGAAAGCAATGGTGTTACACCAGGGGTACATTTGATCTGCAGTGGTCTAAAGAATGCTGAAAAAAATCACATGTACAAGCACTGTAAATTAAGCTAATTAATCCTTTTCTCCTATACCAGTGTAACCTTGTAGACTTTAATAGACTTATTTCTGATTAACACTGAATGGGGGAGAGCAAAGAATCAAGCCCCCACTATATAAAGTAGATACTCTGGAGCATGTAAAACTGGAAATGGGATGCTGCTATGGTGTCTTAGTAGCCCAAATCAGTGGGTGTGGTTCACTACCAGGACTGTCAGGGAAGATGCTCCACAGGTTGATAAAACC